GAAGGGAGAGGGAAGAGGGAAGGAGAGAAGGAAGGAGACAGGGAGGGAGGGAGGAAAGAAGAAAATAAAGGGTACTTGTGAGATAGGTATTCTTACTATCTTAGTTATTTTCTATAAGAAAAATTAGTCCAAGGAGAGGTGAAACACCTTGTTCAGGAAAAAGAAGAGTTGGGAAATAAGCCTAAGGTAATCTTTAAAGCTTATGATTTGGGTGTATTATAGGATTTCATCCCAATAAAAATAATAAATTATATGGGCTGTACCATGCTATCCTGTGTATAGTCATTAACAATAGCTCCATTGTGCATGCAAGGTAGTGACAGCTTCAAGTGATGCCTGTATTTTACCAAGATTAAGACATTTGATTCAGCAAAGGGCTGTGTAAATATTCAGCCAGCCTCTGGCTCCCAGTCCAGGAGCTGTTGTCTACTTCCTTATTTCCTGTCTTGACACTAATGTATGGAGGCAGAGGGACAGGTGCAGTATGAGCCATTAGCTCACTCCTCTGCAGCCCCCTCTTCACCGACTCAACTCAAAGCAGAAACAACTAGGAGCAGTGGGGACATCCTCAGTGGACTCTGAAAGGAAAGGGGAAAACACACTGGCTTTTAGTCATGAGCCCTGTTAGAGGCTGGAGTCAATAATACATTTTTCAAACTTTGAGTTATTTCTAAAGGAAAAGATATTCTAAAAATTTGGAAATAATTCACATGAAGAAAGAGTCTAAAAGAATGGCGGGGGGAGATGGCTCAGCAGTTAAGAGCACTGGCATGCAGAGGACTGGCATTGGTTCCCAGCATTCACATGGTGGCTAAAAACCATGTGTAATTCCACTTCCAGGAGACCTGATGCCCTCTTCTGGCCTCCATGGGCATTATATACATGCAGGCCAAACACTCATATACATAAAATAAATGAATCTTTAAAAAATAAAAAAGGAGGCTGGAGAGATGGCTCAATGGTTAAGAGCACTGGCTGTTCTTGCAGAAGACCTGGGTTCGAATCCCAGCACCCACATGGTGGCTAACAACTGTCTGGAACTCCAGTTCCAGGGGATCCAATGACCTCTTCTGTTCACCGTGGGCACTACACAACACAGGTGTACTTACACACATGCAGGCATAACATTCACACATAAAACATTTTTAAAAATGGGTGTGATGGCACACACCTTTAATCCCAGCACTCAGGAGGTAGAGGCAGGCTGATTTCTGTGAGTTCAAGGCCAGCTTGGCCTACATAGTTCCAGGCCAGCTGGGGCTACAGGGAGACCTTGTCTCAAAAAGACCAAATAAATCAATTAATTAAAATGAAATGAATAAAATAAAATGAAAAAGGAACTAGCTGGGCAGCTGGTTTCTATGCTACTAACAGCACTTTCCT